CTGATATATCATTTTTATACTTTTATAAAATATTATTTAAGAGAAATTATTCAAAAAAATATTTAATAACATGTTTTTATTTATAAAACGTTTATTTTTAGATATAAAATATTATTAACTGAAAAAAATTTTGCCGTTTGAGTAAAGAGGCAATTTCCCGAAAATTGGCAATCAGAACACACTTACAGGAGAAATTTTTGCAGAGTATTCACCTTGATTAAAACTAATAAAAAATTAATTGTAATATAATCTATGGTTTGGTATATGTATTGGTTTTTAAAAATAATAATATTATTGATTTTAACAAATGTATGGCGTAGCATAGCCTGCTTTGGCTCCTGCCGCATGAAACTCCATTGTCACTAACTCACTGATTACATTTTACGATTAGCCAGGGTGAAAGTCTAAAAATCAGTACTGTTCTAATAAAACCAGCATGATGGTAACCTGAAGTTAAGAAACGTTGCTGGTTTTACTACATCTCTGACCAGGATAAAAATGGAGTCGAAATAGAATTAGCAGTATATGATTCTTGCGCCACCTGGTGGTGCATCAAGATACTGACTATTATCTGATTCTTCATATCATTTTTATTTGTAAAATATTATTTACAAGCATATATTGTGGAAACTGGATAACTCGAATCTCATTAACTGGTAAACGAAGACAAAGAAATCAGCCATTCCCTTTCGGTGAACTAGAAAATACGCAGTATATAGAATTATTTAAGCTTTGTAATTCTGAACAAAATATTATTTCCCTATTGGGAACTTATAATAAAAATTTATATTCTATAACTCGAAGTTATAAAATCAGACTTATTATGTAGAAGTTCGTGATGTAATGATGTCACTCAGTGAATTTCCCGAAGTCGAAGAAATAAAATCTTTAATTTTGTCAGCTAATTAATTCACAGAAACATTTGATTTTTTTGTTCTATTGTACTTTGTATATGTGAATTTTTATTTTCACATTTTCTAAGTAACGCATCTGTGCATGTTATGTTTGTTAATGCTTTGGGTCATTATGCTGAAATGAAGTTTATTGTTTGTCAGCACTATTTGGTCGGTGTAAGATTCGCCGGACTAAAAAAAAAAACTATTACTTTTCCTAAAGAAATTTTAACGCCACTTAATCCATCACATTCTTGATGTTACACAATTTCAAAACAATTATCCGAAGTCATTTCTGAAATTGAAGAACGCGCGTACCCAGATCACTAAAGATAATTGCAATAATATCCATACATCAAGAATGTTCTGCTGTGGCGACTGCCTACGTCATTTTTGATTGCGGAGCTGTAGGCCGATTTGAAGAAAAGAAGGGAGCGATCTTTTCTCGACACACTTGCTTCGCAGATTCCAGACCTGTGAAGGTCACGTTTTGAAGTTGTTATCGTTAAGTTGGAAATAAACTAATTGTTATTTGTCTCTGGCTCTCTTACTTTTTGCATATTATAGTTGTCTATCTAGCCTACACCTTCTGATAGGAAATTATGGGGAACTGATGGTTTCATTAACTCCCTTCCCCATACTGCTACCTGCCACGCCACCGAACTGAGGAAGAATGTTCCGTTCAGCTTGCCACACTACCCCAGCAGAGGAAATATGACGATAGCTGAAGTGAAGAGAGAAAAAGAATGGCTGCTCAGACCTGTAGCATGACGAACAGAAATGGCATGAAACAACAGTCAAATGTTTAGTGTTAGTGAGTTTTAAATATTGTATCAATTGTGTGTATTGTGTGGCTGTTAAAAATAAATAAATTCTTCAACCACTAAAGAAGGATTGATTCTTTACATGAAGGACATGAACCTAGCAGCAATTTATAATGCAAAAGACACCGGCATGCTGATTTTCTGATTCAGTAGAAGTTCCCCTGGCATGGTTCAAGTAGTGTCGTGGCTGAAACTCAAGTGGGACTATCTTTTGTAAGTATGATTGTACAATGATCTCTGTAGCTATATAATTGTATGATTGTACAATGATCTCTGTAGCTATATAATTGTATGATTGTACAATGATCTCTATAGCTTATAAATGACTTATATAACTACAATAAATTTACTTCAAGTCAAATTTCTTATACAACTCGAAAAATAGAAAATTGTGCCTTTGTAATTCGAGTTATCTAGTTTTCACTGCATAACTTTTTTTAATCTAAATTTATTCTTTTATAAATTAAAAGAAACGTTATAACTTCTTTATTGTTAATATCAGTCCTTTTCTTTTAAATACGAAAATGAATCGTAAAAAAATGAACAGAAAAATTCGATGTGTACTTTTAATATAACCTTAAGAGAATAAGATTCGAGTTTCCCCCTTTTTTTATGTAATTTATTAAATTATGAATGTAAAAAATTCGGCTGAGTTATTCCCCCCCCCTAGACTTTTTCTCACACTATTCTTGATATTCGTAACGATTTTATTGTATCAATTGGTCTCTGGAAATAACGAATTCATTGTTTACTTTATCGCGTATCATTTCTGGACGATTTTCATCTTAACTCTATTCTTTTCCATTAATGAAGCAGTTTTTTATGCAGTCTTCTATAATTGTGAGAAAGATTTCTTATTATTTTTAACTTAATCGAAGAACGTGGGTGTGTTAATGGTTCTCAAAGATTATCCAGTTTTTATAAAACATTCTATAATTCTGAAATTTTTTAATTTCTTAATTATAGAATAAAATAAAAATAAGATACTGATTTTTAGATCAGAACGGATTTTTTTCAATGATTTATGAAGCATTTACATTTATAGTACTTTAATGAACATAGAGTTAAAGAATATTAAAAAAATCTACCTGATTTGTAATTAAAATTATAGCAAAATGTAGCAAGCGGATAAAACAGTTTTCTGACTATTGGTATATTCTTTCTTTCTTTTTTTGCATCGTATCAATTGAAAGGTTTAAAAAATGTTGTAGAATATGTTTTAAACGTTCATCATCTTCTAATAACTCAAGCGTTTAGAAGTTAATAAATGCATAAGTTTAGTAATTGAATAATTTTTAACATCATTTACTTCTGTGAAACAAGGTTTTCGTTTTTGTGACATTTTATCTACTTGAAATGTATTTAAAATAATAATAATAAGCATAAATTTCGTTAAGTACGTGCGAATAAATATTACGTAAAAAATTACATTCGGTATCCCGATTCGCATAAAAAAAGATTCGGGTTTATTTTTATTAAACTGTTTTTAAAAGTTGAACAATTCGTTTAATGAAAAATTTTGATTAAAAAAATTATAAACGTATTCTTTTAATACTGCTATCAATATCTCTTAAAAATATACTTGTAATGTCTCTTTTTTCATTGTTTATAAATATTGTTACGATTTTGGTATTTAAAATGTATTTATAATGTTAAATTATGTCAAAATTACTATTCTGCTTGAAAAATAGTGCAGGATTAACGTTTATTGCTTGTAAACATGTGAATTAGATCAATTGCTATGAGACCTTGTAAATAACATGGGGCTCTTTGGGTAGCGACAGATTTGGCAACTTATTTTGTCGCCAAATCTGTCGCCATTTGGCGATATTTGACGACTTCCGGTTCCGGTTCTCCTACTTTCTGGAATGTTCTACCACTTTCGCCGTGTCTATATAAGGCTTACTGAAATGTTATTTAGAGTTGTTGTTCAGATTTCTTGAAGCTCAGATGTGTCCGGAGCCTCTGTTACTTTACGCGTAATTCCGTTGTGATTTATGCCGAAAAGAGTACGAAAGCCTACGGCTTTGAATTTGATTTATTCCCCGCTGTATCAGAACATTGCGTTGTGTTACTGTTGTGTTGTATTACTGTGACTTCGGCTGTTCTTATGGCTTTCTGAACATTGTATTCTTGATTGGACTGATAATAAAGAACTGTTTTATCGCTGTCCTGATTAAAGTCTATTCAATCCCTGAACCCAACAGTGAAATTCGTTACAATATTATTTCAATCTTAAAGCAACTGAGACACCTTGGACAAGAAAAAATGAACTTATATTGTGCGCTGCTTAAATAATTCTTTTTTTTTTTCAATTAAAGAAGAAAAGAGGTCATATTTAAACATTGATGTACTTGCATACTTATGTATTCGTTAATGTAAAGGAAATCACATTTGTGTTTATAAATAATAATGCATGAGCATTTAATAATCGCAATAAATTAGTTTACAATGGAAAGTTGTATACTTATCTTTATGCACATTTTCGAGGTAGCTACTGCATTTACAACTTTAAAAATTTGCAAACTTCTTATAAATATAACATTCTGCACTCTGAACATAATTATATTTTCGAAATTTCAATATATATATTGTTTAAAATATTGAATTTTATGATTCAAATTCCCCTGAATTTGTATACGAATACTGTACAAATATCTGAAATTTGTGAATTTTCATTATGGAAAAAAAAAAATTAAACTCACAGTTAGAAAATGTCCTCGTTTTATTATGTGGAAAGTATCAGCAGTATAGACAAAGTAGATTGGGATTGGGAAATATTAGAATAAAAAAAAAAAGCGATATTTGAGCAAAACGCAAATATGTGTATTTTTCTCTATGAGTGTACGTTTGTTTAACAATATAAAAAATCAGTTTCGTCTTGCGTTCTATTTATTAATTTTTCAAAAATAACATATCTATGGAATCAATGCAATAAAAAAAATATACAAATGCGTAGCATTTTAAAATCTCTCATCTTATAATTACCATAACAGAAAACTTGAAATTAAATTATCTTCACTAATATTATTTGAATTAGATCTTTTCAATCCTCTTCATTGCATTTTGCCCAAATTTGAAGAGTTCAACAAGCTTCCACACAACCAGAATTCAGCAACTTCTACGTCACGCCAACGGGAGGACTTAGGGCCACGGCAGATTTAGCGTGCGTCAGCCCCGGCTACACGGCTGATCTTCAGTGACATCAAGGCTCGAACCCGTAACTTTACGAAAACCACCAGCCGCGAGTCCGCTACCACCCTTTTTCTTAATTATCCTTGAAGCCCTCGTGGCCCAATGGATAAGGCATCGGCCTCCTAAGCCGGGGATATCGGGTTCGAGTCCCACCGAGGGTATGATGTTTTTTTTTGTTGATTGAAAGTTCTTCTCCTGCTCCTGAATACAGAATGAATATTGCTCTCTAATCTCTTTGCAAAAGTTTGTTGAGTATTTGTTCGAGCAATAATATTCTTTCTTATTGTTCTCTTGATTGATATTAACAAAACAAATATATTATCTTTTTTTTTTTTTTTTTGGTTTGACAACAATGTATTTCACCTGTTGGTTTTCTTGCAACAAATGAAATACTCGAATCATCTAAAATTTGATTAAAAAATTATTTCCACTTAATGTTATGTTTCCTCCTCCTTTAGCTTGCTCAGATGATTTTTACTTACGAGCATAAATAATCAAACATTATCAAAAAAATGTCTCGCTAAAATAAATCTTATCAGAGTACACGAAGATGATTCTTATTTATATGTTTATAATCTTTTCTGATATTAGACTCTGTATTTAAAATAAATGAACTCACGTGTTTGAGAAATTTCTATGAAAGATACATCTCAACAATAACCCATTGATCCCAAGAGTGACGTTAATTGAAAATATCAGCTACACATCGATTTTGATGGATCAGTAAAATTGTTCACTGTGCGTTCATTTCATTGTATCTTTTCAAAAGCCAATGTTTTCACTTTTTTAGTGATGCGTAGTTATTTTGTAAACCAGAAAGCATCGTTATTTTTGTGTTTTAAATGCCATTTCTTGAAATGTTAATACAAAAATATAATTCCATACTTTACCTAACAGCAAGATAAACAATTTTGTTATTACATATTTTCCATTTATGGCGAGTAAAAGGACAAATACATAATGTCGTGTTTCTTAATTCTCAGACAACTGCAAGTAACTCTCATAATTCTATTAACAAATGTCCTTCCAAAAGTCCATAGTGTTTTTAGTCATATAATCCTCCAATAAATTTTCTACATCATTTCAGCGCACATACACATTGAAAGTTTTATTTATAACCATCCTAAATATTTTCTTTACACATCTAAGTCATCCTTTCTTATTGCACTTCAGTTTGTTTCGCAATTGTTTTTTAGCAGAACTACGTATTCATGCGCTTGGAAAAAATGTCGTAAAATGATTATTAATATTGCTTTACAAAAGCTTTTGCTGGTTCAATCTTGCGAAACCTACTGTTAATCTTTTTTTACGGCTCATTTATTTTTACAACGAAAGTCTGATAACAACTAATTTATTAACATGACGTACAAACGTAGTTAAGAAATTATTTTGATTAGCAATCCCGAGTTCTGTTCCACAGACACACACAGGAGCTGAAAGAAAGAAAAATACACGAGAACGTTTATTTCTGAATTTAATTTCGTAAAATGATTCATTTAGTTTTTGTTATGTAGTCATGTCGCACACAGGATTAGAATTTATGTTAGGCACAATTTAAGAAAATCTTTACAAAAGACTCACAAATTTTTAAGCTTTTATAGAGAGAAGGAAAAAAAAATAAAAAAAAATAGAAATTTCGAATGGGAAATGTATTAAATAAAAATTAATTAAGTTAAATTTAAATTAATAGTACAATTTGTATCTAAGCCTTCAAGGTTATTTTACAAAACTTCAAATTAAAAAAAAATTAAGGCATTTTTATCAAAAGAATTTTAAATAAAATATGTATCACAAAGTACAATAAAAATAAAGAGAGAAAAAAAAAATCGTTTGGTAATTCTCATATGAATAAAGTACATGAACAATTCATTCTTTTTTATTAAATTCAATCCATTATGATAGACATTTTAAGTAAATTATTTTTTAAAATATTTCAATATTTTACGAATTGTTAGACCAAAATAATTATTAAAAATGTTTTCGAGAATGTGTTTTTGCATTTCGATTATTATTTTCGACCATAGTTTTGAGCTCCATTTTTAAGAAAAATTTTCTTTAAATATTTGCTATTTGTATAATAATGATTGTAGGTTTTCTTCAAAGAAGAAAACTTAGAAAGAGATGTTTAAAATGGAATATCTGATTAATAATTCATAAGCTAATTGTTGAAGATACTTTTTTTACATGGTTATATAAAAATTTACATATTCTTTATAAAAAAATACTTTTAAGTATACACATTTCTTACATATTATTCAATTATATATATATCCTTCATTTTCAGTCAAATATTATATCAGGAACATATTTGATATTAAAGGAAGAGATATTTTGGAACTATGAGGGCACATTAGCCACTCAAGGGGCTATTGTTTTAGTTGGATCACTCTTTTGGTGTACCAGATCACTTTTCAATTTTTATCGTTTGCTTTTAATTTTAATATCGGAAAAGTTTTCTATTGTTCGTTTCTCGATATTTCTTCTATTACTTTAATTTTTACATTTAATTGAGTAATTTAATAATAATTATAAAAAGAATCGCACCTTGGGTGGCTAAATTTGTTTCTTGCAAAACTTTGCATAGAGCTTTTTAATTTTTATTTTAACTGCTTTTTATTCCAAAAAGGCTTTTCAGCATAAGTTATATTTTTATGTCTGTATATTTGAAATCGATAGTAAAATTGTTATTCAATCAATAACATAAAATGTAAGAAAATATTCTGTCAATTCGAAGTTTAATTCTCAACGAAAAACTTTTTACACAATAAACATGATTTCATTAATATTCAAATAAATATTTTAGAATTAAAATGCTTTCCTATTCAATTAAACTATTATCATATGTTTTTCTTTGCTATTGATTAGAATACTGATATCAAAACAATAAAAGAAATCCGACAAAATTTATATTTTAGAGCCGAAATGAAAGTAAACAGCTTTTGAAAAAAAAAAAAAAAAAGTTAATATTAATCTATTATAGTGTGAAATAAATTGTTATGATGTTTTGATTTTTGCATTGATCGATTTTAGAACGAAATAATTGTAAAAATGATTCAATTGAAGCGATTGTGCGTTACGATGCCAGAATTTTAATTTTAATCTAATTCTAATTTGCATGAAATAAATAAATGTCAGACATGTGAAAGATATTTATAGTTTTGAAATCAAACACACAGATAATTTTGAATTTTTTACAATTTCAAAGGATATCTCAATTAAATACAATGCTTTGAAAAAATGTGCTAACGAATCCTTTAACTGCTTATGCAATCCATAGAAACGGTCATTTTAAATGTTTTTCATTATTATTCAGCCTTCGAATATTAAAACAGACAATAATTCCGCAATAAATTACCAACTCTTTCTGTTTCCATCATAACTTTTCTGTCTAGTAAAACAACATCTGCGAAAAAAGACGATTGTGAATATTTAAATATAATGCCATCTGCGTTTTTCCAAACCAAAAATTACGTCACAGCAGATGGCAACTCGAAGCAAATCGTTCATCCAGATTTATCACTGGTGTTTTCAACAAAATTAATCCATGTGGCAAAAATAATTCCACACTAATTATCATCTGCATATTCCCACGAAAACTTTTGAGCATAATCGTTCGATTTTCTTACTCTGCTAAATTATTTTTCATTTATTAAGTTGCAGAACATAGTACAAAATATCGAAACACTAAAAATATTCCGTAAAACTCATCATTTGTGTATCAGAATATTGATTGATCCTCGCACAAACTAACCAAACATTTTTTTTAAAAAAATGAGATTTGAGAACTTCCAAACTTGCCTCGAAAATTTTAAAGCTATTTTCTTCCATTTTTTTGTTAATTTTCATGTAACTCTGAATAAGTATCTAAACAACAGTTCAGCATAAATTAACTGTTTGCTTTTATTGTAGAACTATTCTGTTATAATGAACAACAGCTGGAAAAAAAGGAGAGAAAAAAAAATCTGCATTCATTTCGAATATTTAATTTAATTTTGTTCGCATCACACTAAACGAAAATTGCAGTCGTAGCAGATGTCAACGCACAGCAAATCGTCAGCTTTTTGAGATTTCAACGCACGTTCATAACAAGTCACGGGCGTCAATGCAAACCCGTCCGTCTCATAACATCGGGCCTCCCCAACACATGGCTGGCTCTTTTAAATGCACAGGGTCGGTTCCTATTCAACACAAAGAGAGAAAAAAAAATTAGGAATAGAATTGTGCGTTTTTTTCCAGAAGGCCACGCCATAGAAGTATAAACACAAAAGGCCACGTCGTTATTCCATATATAGTTCTACATCCTGGCACGAACGAAAGCAGTTTCCTGCCTATGCAGGAAGTTCCCGTAGGATACTAGCGAGAATGAAAAAAAAAAAATCGAAAATAGATTCCCCCCCCCCCCCTTTTCCTGAGAAGGGTGGGTTTAGAAAGGCTTTTTTTTTTGTTTTAAAGAATGTGTTCGTTTAGTTAGTTACCTGTGCGAAAATAAAGATGGAAGTTGTTATTTTTGGATAAACTAAAATTGAATAAGCCTTTCTGATTACTGTTGTGTATAAAAACAAAACAATGAATGGAAAATCTTATAATTATTGATTGTTTACATATACATAGAGAATAATTTAGCTCTGTAAGCATTTAATATATTTTTAGTTTGTCTTGGTGGTATTAAATCTATGGATTTCAAAAACTGTTTTAAATCTTATATAAATGATTGTATAAATAGGAAACCTCAACATTGTAAATCATGTTGCTCTATTTGTGAATAAATGCAATCTTACAAAACTGTGAAATAACAATTTTACGTTAGTAAAAGGGGGGGGGGGTGAGTTCAAAAAGGAGCATATGATTTTGGAATTTCGTTCTTTTGAAATCTTAGATCATTTATAAAATGAACAATACCGAAAATGAAAGGCAATATTTATTAAATCAGGTAGCGCAAATTTCATTTAAAATTTAATTTTTAGAGGGTTTCATGATAGCCAACCGTAAATCTCGTCATTTTGAATCAAGATCAGATCATGCAGATGAAATTTACGCATTCAAGAAATTTTGACAAAAAAAAAAGTTTGTAAAAATTTCCTTCAGCACGAGATTATTAAAAGGATTTTCTGTGTACGAGGGGGTATTGTAAAATTTTAATTATTACTGAGAAATAACTGAA